ATGGACTGCAGACCAGGTCCGCCTTAGATCTTAACACTACATGGACCTCTAGCTGCTTAGCAGAAAAACTCATGCTGCAAGGGTCTCCCATGGCTCGAGATAGGCAGAGGGAATAAGTAGAAAAACCCACTGTTCACTGTTCCGCCCTCCCCTTTTCATCCATTGAACAATTTGCAGTGACAGTGGAGATTAGCACACAACTCAAAATGAGGCAGAGGCCAAAGTAATGAGTTAATTACAAAAGGAAGATTTCCATGTAAATACTTATTATTCAAGCCCTGGGTCAAATAAGAGCATTTGCTTCCAAAGTAAAATAGAAAGATTGAGTACAGATCTGTTTCCTGAATTTCTGAAATTAGGTGCATTGTGACTTTTTTTTTCCTGGAAGAACAAACCCATCTCACCCCTGTTCTGAGCTCTATTGTGAACATCCCATTTTGTCCCTAACACAGCTTGGCTTTGCAGCCACAGTCTTTAAATACAAGCCTGTACCTCAGCCTGCAAAAATGCTTTGTTGAGATAAGAAATGAAAGCTGCTTTGGTGAATCGAAGCAGCACAGCCAATGAAACAACATGCACTTAGCATCTAAGTACAGTGTATCTTATTAAATATTTTTCATTCCACTTAATGCCTTGCAGAGCTGCCCAAGGAAGGAAGACATGGCACGAGGTAGGTAGTCTTTTGGCAGAATTCACAGAATCATAGAATAGTCTGGGTTGGAAGGGACCTCTAAAGGTCATCTAGTCCAACCCCCCTGCCGTGGGCAGGGACATCTTCAACTAGAGCAGGTTGCTCAGAGCCCCGTCCAACCTGACCTGGAATGTTTCCAGGGATGGGGCATCCACCACCTCTCTGTGCAACCTGTGCCAGTGCTTCACCACCCTCAGCGTAAAAAATTTCTTCCTTGTATCTAGTCTAAATCTACCCCCTTTTATTTTCAAGCCATTCCCCCTTGTCCTGTCGCAACACGCCCTGCTAAAAAGTTTGCTGCCATCTTTTTTATAAGCCCCCTTTAAGTACTGATGGGCTGCAATAAGGTCTCCCTAAAGCCTTCTCTTATCTAGGCTGAACAACCCCAACTCTCTCAGCCTGTCCTCATAGGAGAGGAAGCCCCTAAACACAGCAGGGCTTTCCATGGGGAAGCAGTTTCCTTCTCCAGAAATCAATCTGCCTTCTTCGTAGAGCCACCTGCGCAAAGAATGCTACCTCCCCCTGTTCTTGCAGCCACAGCACCAGCATTCTCTGATGTTCTCCTGGCTCCTCCTCCCTGGTCCAGTTGCTCTGTGCTCAGGTTTTCACTGTGATGCAGGTGGGTATGTACAACTGCAACCTGTGAATGTCCCAGCCCTGCTGTTTGCAGTCAGCCTCCAGGAAAGGCTTCAGCCTGCCCCACGTATCTTCTGAAGTATTTCTGTGTGTCGTGGTTTAACCTCAGCCGGCAACTGAGCACCATACAGCCGCTTGCTCACTCTCCCCCCCCTCTGCAGTGGGATGCAGGAGAGAATCGGGAAAGGCAAAGGGAGAAAAATTTAATTATGGAAATAAAATAGTAATAATAATAACAATAATAATAAAAGAATATACAAAGCAAGTGATGCACGATGCAATTGCTCACCACCCGCTGACCGATGCCCAGCCAGTCTCCGAGCAGCGGCCCCCCCGGCCAGCTTTCCCCCAGTTTCTGTACTGAGCATGACGGCACATGGTATGGAATGTCCCTCTGGCCAGTTGGGGTCAGCTGTCCTGGCTGTGCCCCCTCCCAGCTTCTTGTGCACCTCCAGCCTTCTCGGTCGGAGAGCATGGGAAGCTGAACAGTCCTTGACTAGTGTAAGCACTGCTTAGCGACAACTAAAACATCGGTGTGTTATCAACATTATTCTCATCCTAAATCCAAAACACAGCACTGTACCAGCTACTGGGAAGAAAATTAACTCTATCGCAGCCGAAACCAGGACACTATGCTACATGCTTTCAGACTTACTCTCAGAGCATCCGAACCCTGAAATGTGTGTTCCTAGAGGTACCTCATGGCACAAGTACAATTAAGAGCACCTCTACCTGCTTACAATCCTTATACTCGCTAATAGGGAACGTAAAAGCTTTCATTGCCTCTGTCTCTGGCACATCATTAGAATGCTCTTTGGTATATTTCTGTAAAACATTTTACCTTTCAGTTTTTTGCTCTTAGATACATTGCTTCATTGTTCTTATTTTAATCACAAGCAATTGTGTTTTAAAACAGATGCTGTGCTTCCAGAAAATATATTATGAAGGCATGAGTGTGGAGCAATCACGTGAGGGAGGGGCGTGTACATACACACTGGTAGTTGGTTAACTTCTAAAAATGCATCTTTAGAAGCTATGAAAATGTTCGCACTGCTTCCTTAGACAAGGGGGCAAAAGAGAATGAAGTTGTGGACGTCCTTCCATTGTGTGGCAGCATGGCCAGGGTCTGTCGCTTTGGGCCCAGCAGGCCACAGAGCGAGCACACCAGTGGTGACGTTGCTCTCGAGTTTTTCTCCCTGCGCTGCCAGAATTCCCACCCTACCTCCATGCAACAACTCTGGGAGGCAGGAAGGTGGGAGGAATAAGTGGCATTACGCAATGGCAGGGAGCTGACAATATTAGTTCTTAATAGCACTGTTAATCACAAAAAAAATAAGCGCTCCAGTCCTGCCAGTTCTCAGCATTATAGCCTGTGCCACTCCAAAGTGTTTCCATACAATACCATCCCTTGTTCTTCGTTCAGGGCTATGTGTGTTCACGTGTAACACATATGTATGGTCAAGCTTTCTAGCAGCAGCAGTGCTGGGACGTTGTTAAAAATTAACACGTGCTCGATTCCTGTGTGTAAAACGTCTGTGTGGAGCAGGCTCTGGGCCTGATCCTCTTTAGCGTTCCCGTGAGTCATTTCAAGCAGCACAGCAGAGAGCTGCGCTGCAGTCACAGCAGTGTAAGAGGCAGGGTGGGGAGTCGTGCCCTCTGCAGCCTACGTGCATCGCATCACACAGCCCAGCCCAAGGCTCATCTCTCAGGCTGCCTCTCACCTCCGAGTAGACACGCACCATTTGATTTCTAAGCAAAAAAAGATCACTTCTGCCTTTTTCCAGTAGAAAAATATGATGTGAAAATGAGGATGGTGAGGAGTAATAGATCACTTTCAATTTGACTGAAAAACGTTAGAGAATAATTAACATGCTAGCAAGTCAGATGTTTCTGCTTACATCATGTTAAAGCTATGCACACAGTTAAAACAAAAAACGTACAAATGTGCCTTTATTTTGCAGAAGAAAAAAATTCCCTTCGGAGCCAGGGCAAGTATCCCTTTCTGCAACTGCCAAGCTGGGCCTCTAGCCCCTTTTCGACCCTGATCCTGCAAAAGGCAGTGGGAGTGCTACAGCAGTAGTACCACATGCGCTAATACCAGGTTATGTATGAACTGCCCAGCGCGGCAGGACTCAATTCCAAGGAGGAGCCTACAACATACCCTCAAAAAATACTCAACAGGAGTAACAAAGCAAACGAATAACGGCGGAAAGGGGGGAGAGTTCTGGCCGGGACGCTGCCGCGGGAAG